ATTAAGAGTTAAATCTTTGCAGTTAAGTCTGGACTGTGTAAAGACTGGAGGCCAAGAGAGTGTGTTGCTGATAAGATGCCATACAGCTGTTCTGAGCTAACTGGAATTTTTTAAGCAGTATTGACTTTGAGAGCAAGTATACATTATTGCTCAGTCCAGCCAAGGTGTGAGAAAAATATGAATAGCTGAAGACAGACCACCCTCTGCCAGGGTGAGATAGTTTCCTACTTCAGGGAAATTATCAGAATCATTATTTGTCATTGTTGCCAGCTAAAACCTTTGTGCCTAGTAATCACATTCTATTGCAATACAGGTTGAATTGATCATCAGCGTTTGTATCTTCAGGATGTTGAAGTGCAGGTGTGAGTGCTACAAATGGTTGGGGTTTTTTTGCCTTTGACTGCTTCTGTTCTGCTCAGGTTGATAATTAGATACTGTTCTTCATCTATGTGCCAATCTATCATCCAAGCAGTGAGATACCCTGGTATTTAGGGAGGGGATAAATAGAGACATATCATTTCAGCTTTGTCAGTACTGGAGCCTGTATCACCTTTGCACATGCGTCCAGATTATTTTATGATTTTGAAAAGGACTGGGGCACTGCTGAGATTTCCCTTCAGTTTGCCACACATTTCTGGTATTAGCCTCTCAGGACAGAGTAATATAGCATCTCAGGACAGCACTGAAGATTTCAGCAAGGTAAGAATGGATATCTTTTTCTCACCCTGCCCTGAAACTTGCTTTTGATTGCATAGAGTACATGGGTTCCAAATAGCTGGACTTATTTTGGGTTTTTTACTGGTTCCTCTTCGAGTTCACACAGGAGAGGCATGGAAATTAATAGAGTACTGTTACATGGAGATTGGTTTCTTCTGAGACTGTTGAACACAGAATATCTGTACGTGAACGAAAGATGGGTTCTTTCTCTAAATGTTATGTTAGCTACCAATAGAGGTATCAATATTTCTCTTTTGTAAGCCAGGAATGAAAAGGGTCAAAATCACAAGTTTTACATCAAGACAACTTCAGCATCCTGAACTTCCTAACAAATAAACATTCTCCAAGAATGTAGATGATCTTTCTGTTGCTGCATGTATGGAAATTGTTTGAAAAGGTTCCCCAAGAACACAGGAGAAGTGTTTGCAGTGTTGTGTGCGCAGTTGTGCTGTAAGTGCTGAAGCTCTGGGCATGACTAAAGAAGTTTAATGCCACAGGCAGCAGTGTAATGGGATATCTGGTACTTTCTAAGGACATTTTCTATGGCAAGTTTCTCTTAGCCGCTATACAGCTGCACAGGTTTTGAGGAACTTGTTCCTTTTCATCTGTTCTTTCATTTCTTTGTGAAGAGCTTCAGTTTCTGCATCTGTTTCTTCCACGCAGCACAGCATGAAAAAACCAAGAGTCCCAAGAAAAGAGAAGAGGCTATCTGGAAACTGAGGTGTTAGTGCCCCAGCTACCAGCTGTTAGTGCAAAGCTACCACACAGTAATGGTCCTTAACACTGTTTCCTGTGATGAGTGCTTTGAGTGCATGTGAAGCAAGGATGTTGTTTCAATTTAATTTTTTGTTCTGAGTGTCTGGAGCTGACTTCAGTTCTACTACCCACACAGTGTACTCAGAGTACCAAGTGCCTCAGACAAAAAGATAGAACTGGAGTCAAAATGAAATGCTCCATTAAAATAGGAAACAAAATACTACTGAAACATTTGGCTCCGCGGGCCTGATTGTAACAGCTTTTTCATACCGAGTGTCACTTTCCTCCCTAATTCATCCCATTATCTTCAGTATTAGAAGAACAGCATTTCACACCCACATCAGTCTTAGTCGTAAGTGTAGGTAATTACAACTCTAAAGGCAGGGAAGTCAGTTCTAATAGTTAGAAAATTAAAAAAAAAGCACTGTTTCCATTAATATGATGATCATTTAGTTATTGTTAGATTCCAGCAATGTACATAAAAGGGACAGGTTGTTCAGCCCTTAAAAATAAGCACTTAATCTAAAAAGTATGTGGTATCCTTTCCTGGCTCAGTTTCCTATTGCCTGGATTTGCCTCTCAAGAGACATCAGATGAAAGAAGTATTATGCACAGATACTTGAGCAGAATTTTTACCTTAGTCCTACAAACTAATCACAATGCAGTAATGCTGTATGATGACATAATGCCTGTATACATGTTGTGCATACACACAACACTGTATAGGGCAACATAAATATAACCACAGAAAAACTGATATAGGATTCCCTGTTAAAACACAAAAATATGAGAGTATAATTAATATGAATTAGCATGGCTTTTATGAATTAAACCTTTCTGGCTTCTTTCTTTGGTTAGAAGCTGCTTACAAGAATTCAACTGCAGATACATGCTTAGATTGTCAGTGCTATTCATCTTTATCAGGGATTTTTGAACAATAAGAGATTATAGCTGATAGTCTGTGGGTGTATAAAGACTGCGAAGAGTTAAATGCAAACACTAAGTCCTCAGAGACTCAGATAGAACAAGAGCACAATCATGTAAAATCTTGTCTCATTTAAACAAAGTTTGTCCTTACTCAAAAGCAAATATATGTGTAGAATGAAGAAATGTAAACCATACCTGTGAAACAAGGTAGTGTTGTGCCTTGGGAAAAAGTTATCAAAAAGAAATCTGAGATATTGGTTAAGTTCAGTGGTATCAATAACTTATGGGTAGAAAACAATGGCTATAAAAAGGTTTTTGATCTAGTAAGAAAAGGCAGAAATAAAAGTAATAGAATCTGAAGCCTAATGAACTTAGAAAACAGTAAGATGCAGATTTCAACTGTGAGTGAACTTAACCAAACAAACTCTGTAGTGGTACATTCTTTCCCTCGCCTTCAAACAAGTGGGACATCTTTCTGGAAGACAAGTTTTAGCCAAAATGATATTTTAGTAGATATCTAGCTGTTGGACTCAACATAGGGGCAAGTATTTTAAATGTAATGTCATGTAAAATATAGGACAACAAACAGAGGCTGTCATCATTGAATTGGAAGGGACGTAAAGAAGTTGTTTGGTCCAGCTCTATGTGTGGGATAAAAACAACTGTACTAGAACTTATTCCTGCCATGTTTATCCTATTTCTTCAACATGGACCTCAAGCCATGGAAATCCCACCTTCACTATTAGAAAGTGCCTCCTAACACATGTTGCTGGCCTTTAAACACATTACTTCTTGCCTTCTCCACCATGGAAATGAAGAAAAAAATTATCCCTTTCTTCTTTTCCAAAGACTTAGGTATTCATTTTGTTCTCCTTCAGTCTTATCATATTTCCCTAAATAACCACCATTTGTTCAATATCTCCAGGAATTCGTGTTTTCTAGACCTTTAATCATTTTTATTCTTTTCCTTTGGACTCTCTCCAGCTGGCACACACTAACCCTGCTGTAGCCTCCTCAGTACTAAGTGAAAGGATTATTTCACTTGACTTTTGGGCTATACTTTTGAATAAAATGATAAAAAGAAATGTGAATAAAAATATATCTGATACCATACAACTTTAACTTGGCATATCTTAAATCGTAAGGGTCTGCTTTTGCAAGATGAATGTTCCTTAACAAAAACACCAAAGAATTCACCGGTGTAATCAGCAGTGTTGGGACTTTTAGTACCTTCCTGTTGAGGTAATAGAGGAACTTAACAGGTTTCAAATGCATTGCTGTTGACATGTATGTTGACAAGTTTCTCCAAGCAGCCATGAAGCCAAATTTATCCAGAAATTTTTGAGTTCTTTGTTAGTAAGCAGAAAAAACCTGTCAATTTCACTTTGATTTCCATGTGGCACATGAGAGGTCCTTTTAATAGTTATCAATTCCTCTTCTCCTGTCTATCCATCCCAAGGACAGAATTTCAGACTCCCAGGCAGATAAAGTAAGCTCTTTCAGTAGTTTTTATAACTTTCAGTCTTAATATGAAGCATTACTAAAAATTTGTCATTGTCCTGTGTTTAAGCCAATTTTGTCCAATGTGGTGAAAGTTTCTTTATCTTGTCATTCTTGACAAGATTTTAATTTCCAGTATATAGGTGTGAACTTGAAGAAAATCTTGAGAAATCAAGGGGGCTCTTTTTGACTGTAAATGGTTTTAACTGAACTCTGAAATTGCTTTTTCCTTCCACTCTCCTCTTCCTTAGATTTTGTTGGACTTTCCTTCATACAGCTGGGGACAACCTTTTAATCTGATACTTGAAAGAAAATTCTAGTTTTAACATTATGGCATACAAACAGTGATTCCATTTAGTTGTGTTGAATAACTTCTCTCAATGTGAATTCTTAAAGCAATGGTTACTATGGTTTGGTTGTGGTTTGTACATAGAGCATGAATGCAGTGCAGCACACATGCACACCAGCCCACTCGTGTAATTAAGGCTTCTGTGCCTGGTGCACTGCATCATCTTGTTTTGAAGGCTGCACCTGTTTGTTGAGGGTGTAGTTTCTGTGCAGCTTCTCAAACTGCCACTTTTCTAGTATGTGCTTGCTAGAAAATTAAGTCCAGCCTTTTACAACTTACATTACAAAGACTTGTACACCTCTTAATGCCAAAATATCTTTTCATCTCTCATCTCTTCCCTTGAAACTCTGCCTCTGAGCAAGGAAAACTCCAGCAAGACTGCATCAGTGCTCACGTGAAATTCTGCAGCTGGCCCTTTCAAGCAAATTGCAGAATTAAATGATAATTTAGTTTTAAAACACAAGAGCTTATGTACTGGGTGAACTGATGTTTTTGTGTCCTGTTCATGTCTTGGCAAAGACATTTTTAAGGGCTTCTACAGGCAGTATGCTCTTCTAGGCAGAGCCTCTCTAGTCTGGTAAGATAAGGCACCAAATACAAGAATAATAATAATAAGCAGGTTCAACAAAATATATTTGCTCTGGGGTGTGTGCAGTACTGATATTTTATCCTAATACTTCGTGTAAACAGTGAGGTTCCTTCCTCAGCTGTTTGCTTGATAAATTCAATCTGTTCTGCTTTTTTTTTTCAGGCCCTAAAAATGAAGGTTTGAAACAGATAGCACCTGCCTCAGCAGCACTCGCCCCACCTGTACCTCCACCACACTCTGCTACGCAGTTGCCACCTCCTCCACCAGTCTCTCACCCATCCCTGCAGTCCCCAGCAGCTCCCAGCCTGCCTCCCAGAAACATCAAGCCCAGCTCTGAAACAATGTAAGTGAACATAAACCCCAAGGTCTTTATTTTCTCACCTTTTCCTGCCTATTACTTTGCTCATGCAGCAGCAGATTAAGGCTGTAGGTGTCCCAGGTTTCTTGGGGAGTGAGGTCCCACATTGCTTTCCTTGTTCTACCCTGTCCCTGGCCTGTTTGGAATTAGGTTTTTTTTTACCTTGAACCCTCCATCTATTCAGTTGTTTCCCTAAATTGTCTTACCTATAACACCACTTTTTTCTGCCCTGTTGGTAAGGGGAGTGGGGGATGGAACAGACACCCTGCTGGGTTTTTGCTCCAGATGGTTTCAAAGACTTCATAGACTGGTAGAAAATCAGTTGTATCAATAACTGAAGCTTTCCTCTGCATTCTTCTGGGGGGAAGAGGGCCGGGAGGGTCAGGTCTATCCGCCCATACCCCAGGAAGCAGCTTTGCAAGCCAGAGGTACTGAGCTCCGTGCTGGTTGTGAAATTGCACCAGGAGCCGTGTCATGACCTGTTGTGGTAACACTGGGAAGCCTCTGTCACAGATGGGGCTCCTTTCTTTATCCTTCTTCTAAGAGCTGCGTACAAAAGGGGAACCTCCAAGTGACAAAGCCTTAAAAGCACTTCATAATAATGTCAAAACTGACCAGAAACAAGCTGAGCCTGAATAATGAGCTGCTCTCTGCCCAGCAGTTACTCCACGTAGCAGCAAACGGCAGACGGGGAGAATATATTAGGCATTAAAGGGGTGTGTGTCAGCACGCATACTGCATTTCGGTACGGGCGGTGTGACATCACTGCAGCGCTGCTGCGCTGGGGGCTGTGGGAAACGCCCCGCCGGGCCGGGGCGGCGCGGGGAAGTGTCGTCACCGCTCCATCTAGCGGCCGCAGCGCCCCGGCAAAACCCTCCTGGACACCCTCCTTCCCAAACGCTTGGGAGCCAGCTGTGTCCTCTTTGCCTTACGGGACCTGCGAAATTAACCTCCAGGTTGTCCTTCTGCTCTCCCGTTGCTGCGTACCCTCCGGGCTCTCCCCTCGGGTGAAAACGTGTGCCTGGGTGCTGACACCTTTTCTTTCACCCTCGTCTCGGTGCTTTCTTCGTCAAGCCAATTTTAAAAGATCAGTTTCTGCTTTCAAGTTCTTTCTTTGATTACACCTCTTTGATGATGACTGTCAGCCCTAGTTTTATTTCAACTCTCCTAAGGTATTATAAAGTTTAAGTCCCTGATATTATTAGTTACGTTCTCAATTTCTTCCTTCTCTCAGTTCGACAGAACTTCTAACATCAGAGACCTTTTACCTGCCTAACCTTATAGCACTATTTCTTTTGTCCCTTGTTTAAACTTTAAGCTCTATAAGTCAAGGAGCAAGTCTTAGACCTATATTTAACATTGTGCAAAAGTCCGGTGTTCTGCTTGTGCATTTTGTAAGAAGCCTGCACCTGCAAAGATGGCTAAAAAGCCCAACAGATTCTTTCCATTCAGTCAGCCCATCTGCCTGTTATATTTTTCATACCACACCCCTCTCCGTGGTATCTGAGCGCCTTTGGCTCATTTTCCCTTTTTAGACTCAGGATCAAGGTGTTCCTATGTGAAAAACCAAGTTGCAGTCAGAAAGAACAATTCAGGGAATCTCATGGGTACTTAAGTAGCATATAGACTATCCAGCTGTTGTATAAAATAGCTGAAAAAAGTACCAGAACAATGGTGTATGAAAATGCAATCATAAAACCATCTTCATAGGTTTCACATGTCCACTTTTTCATATTTACAGAAGTCCAGACAATGAAGAAAATTATGATGATGTTGAATTTGTTTCACAGGGTAAGATGCACGCATTCTAATTAATGGCAGCTATATGAAGCTGTAAGCATATCGTATTTATAAGATAAGCATATTGTATTCGTGAGTGACTTGTGTAACTAATTATGCCAGTTCTGCAGTTTTATGGGTGAAGATGGTTGTCTCACAACACTCACTGTTCTATAATTAATATCACAGACTCTCAGGAACTGCTTTAAATATCTCTCCTCTTCCCCTCTTTTTTTGGTTAGAAATATGCTGGAACTGTAAATTACCAGATTTTCACATCTGAACCAAAATGAATGCTGCTCTTTCAGTGTTGAAGTTGTGTGCTTTGGTGAAGCAGGCATTGTTTTATACTTGATTAAAAAAAAAAAAAAAATTGTTGACTGTGCTTTTAATGTCGCTTTGTGGTCTGCCTTCAATAAGAGCCAGTGAGTCGCTGTGTTGTACCAGGAGCAGCCAGAGAAGCAGATTGTGACACAGAGAATTTCCATCTGCCTTCTGATCTCTCCTCGAGAGGACTTGGTCTGTGCCAGGCACAGCATGCATCGTTTAGTGTGCTAGCCATCCCTGTCAGACAGCAATGTGGGCCATGGAGCTGAAACTGAGCCCAAGCTCTTTTCTTACCCAACTACCTGCAGAGTAAGGAGGAAGCAGATTTACAGAGTTTCTTCTTCTGCAGCCCAGGGTAGAGGCTGACTTACCAAAAGAGCATTTGGCCTCCTTATTCAGCTGTGGGGCTGGTACAAACAAGTTCTTTGAGGGCTGTTTGGATTTATTAGGTTTTTAACAATGACTTTCTTGTATAAATAGGCATTTTTGTAAACAAATAGCATAGGTAAGTTCATCAATGTCACAAAAGAATCTTTAAAACAAATTTTCCACTTTTAAAAATACATGGTGAAATATGCCATTTTTTAGATATTTCTAGTTTACAGTATATTACAAAAGCAACCTGGTTAAAACTCTGATTTTTTGCATTCAAGCCAGGAGCCTGCACGTATTTCTAGTTAATATCACTAGTATTAGTAGTTTGTAAATAGTTAATGCTAGAATGAACTGTTTTCTGTACAGCAAAAAAATAAATACTCTGTTTTTATTTTTTGTCATATAGGTCATGGAAATACAGAGGGGGTAAGTATTACCCTCCATGATAGACCTTTTTAGCACAAACTTACAAATTTAATAAAATCCCATCAACACATTAGAAAATTAATTGCAGAATGAATCCAGTATATTGACAGTAAATTGTAGAAGCATTTACTTATTGTGAAGGACAGAAATAAAACCAGGTAAGCAGAGCAAACTGGAACTAATTATCAAAGCTGGCTAGACACCAAAAATTTATTTTTCAAAAAAAGCAAAAACACCCCTTCTATTTCCACTGACATTTCATGCCACTGAAATTTTCCAGAAAAAAAGGCCCTATTCTATTCTAGTAATAAACCACTTCTTTCAGTTAAGGGCTGGTTAGTATTGTGTCTTTAAGTACCTGGCTGTGTTAGGACCAAAACAGTCTCTGGGACCCTAATCAGAGTCCTATTTAGATCCTCAGTGTTCGTTTTAACTACTGCTAACCCTGGCACCTTCACCATGGCAGTGCAATCATCAACAGAGATAAAGGCTTTCCAGGACTAACATTGCAATTAAAACACCCAGTTTGTATTAAGCAATGTGCTAGTGTGATTGTAACAATCCAGAACTTTATAGTTGCGGTTCATAAAAACAAAGTCAGAAAAAACCAAATAGTGCGTTTGAATAATGTAGCAACTTGGTTTTGGAAGATTAAATTAATCTGTATTTTTCTGTAAATCTTTTTATATCATTTGTATGAAGCTTACATAGCAGGTCCATTTTCTTCACGTCTTTCCAAATGTATCTAGGCCATTGAAAACTGATTTTTTCTTATAGGGCCAAGAAAGTGATGGAGAGATGTATGAAGACATAAATGATATCAGGTAGTAATTTTGAACTCTGTAACCTACTGTAAAGCTTGCTAACAGAGATACTTCATCTGGCACAAAAGTGTGATTCCACTGCAGTCCCTGCCACGCATTATTGTGTTCATTCATTTCACCTACAGAAAGTCAGGTTGTTCATAGGTTCTTTCCTACTTAGATATGCTATGCCCTAGGCTGGAAAAACTCCTGCGATAAAACCATCTGGTTACTGTGATCTAGATAACAGAAGTCTGATTTCTGATCTAAGGAACATGTCTGAATCACTGTTTGGAATTACAGCCTAGGAGGAAAAAAAATAATCCCAGCCCCTAGGTACTACAGATAGATATTTTGCTGTGGTTGTTTTTCTTGCTTTGTAGATAAATGTACTTAGAACTTCCATGAGAGACTGGATTTACAGTTCTCATGGCCTGAGCCCCCTAGTATAGCTACAAAGCCAGAATATGAGCTGTGGTCATTCTTCTGCCATTTAGCCCTTTACTTTGAGGAGTCTCTTGCACAGCTAATGCCTAAATGTATGGGATTCACTGTCTGAGAACAGCCAAAGAAAAGCCCTAATTCCCTTGGAATAAGTAACAGTCTGAAGTTCCTACACAAAAATACCTTGTTACAGATGTAGAATTACTTTCAGCAAAAATTTATTGTTGAAGTCGTTTTGAAAATAGATAATTTTAAATCTATATAATCAAAACAAGTGATCCTCATTCAGTCTTTTTTTTAATACAATTTGAGTACATCAGTCTAGTAAAAATACCAAAACAGGAAGAGGAGGGAGCCTTACTCACCCTGTTCCATAGGGTTTGGAAAGCACAGCTCTTCCAGCCAAACCGTTGGCAGCAAATGGCAAAACTGTAGCTATACTCCTAATTACATCCCAGAGCCCACACCTCAGTACCCTCCAGGACATGGGCACCGCAGGCAATGTACCCTGGCGTGATACGCGCATTTATGATGCAGTGCAGAAGACTGACTGTCATTTGTGTAGACTGCTGGAATAGGTTGCAATTAGGTTTAAAACCACAGTCCAGTGGTAGCTCAGGCTTCAGTTCAGGCTGCATCAACCACTGATGGCCTGGGTAAATGTTTAACAGCTGCAGCCAGTGGCACGTGACATAGACTGCTACCAGTTTCCAAGCTTGCTTGCCAAAATTAACTGAGAGGTGTTTGGACATGCACAAGTAAAGCCAGTCTCTTACCTCCAGATAAACTTTCCTTGCATACTGTCCTCTTGAGGACAGCTGCTTTAAATTATGAATATAATATAAGAGAAAGGCCTGCTCTCTCTATCTGTTGCAGCCACACTAGGATTTAGAATCTGTAGCTTTGATTTCCCTGGGAGAAACCTTTTCCATCACATGTAGTTCTCTGTTAACCTTCGATAAGAAAGCTCTAATGTGATTTGCTTCACTGCTACATTCAATCCTGGCAATGAACTTTCAGATCATCAAGAGGAAAAGAGAAGAAGCGGGACAAGGAAGAAAAGAAACGAATGGACCAAGAGAAGAAAGAACAAAAAGAAAAAGAAAAGAAAGAGCAGGAAATAAGAAAGAAGTTCAAAGTAAGCTTTTTTGTTTTGTAATCTGTCTGAAGACATGTAAGAAGCACTATTTAGCATTGTCAAGTTCAAAATACACTTTTCAGCTGGCTGCAAAACTATTTGTTATGGTAAATAGTTCAAGCACCTGGATAAATTCTGAATAAAGGTTTAAGCTACCCTTTTATGTTTGACATATGCTTGACTTCAGGCTTTGTACCAAGGTCAAAGACATTTTTTCAGTGCTTATATAGTTTTCATTAAATTCCTTTCTCACGTTCTTTCTATATAAAAAAGCCTTAGAAACATTTCCTTTCACTTTTGTGTTTAAAAAGCACTTACATCACTAGAATAGCATCAAAAGTCCTTAATAAATGTGGGAATTGGATCCCATATACTTAGTGGTTTTTGCTTCACTGGAGTTGGGTATAACAGTATTCAGCCCTTAAGAGATTTCAACATTACATTGCAACTCATTGCCCTTGTCTAAAGGGACCTAAAGGGACTTCCAGCCTAAATGGGGAGGAAGGAAACAGGGCATGTGTCAACGTCACTGTCAAAGCATAGGGGCTAAATGATGAGAGAGTTCTTTCTGGTTTATATAATTTTTATATAGCTGGTGGTCAGCATGCTATCACAGTTTACAAATCTACTGGTCATCTTCTGTTAGCTAATGCCTGTTCACAATGCTTCACTGTGCTTCTTTCAGTGTCATTGTACATAGTGGGCAGCTTTGTTTTTCTTCCTATTATGCTCCGTACACAGTAAAGCCATGGTGATTCTCTCAGATCATGGCCTTGGTGTGCTATGGAGAGACTGACAGGAGCTGAGGAGCAAATATTAAAGGAAAGTACTAATAGTTAATAATAGTGGGTTAGCTGGAATTCATCAGGCCTCAAGTATTTTTCAGACCACTCCTGTGAAGTGTAGGCATGAGTGCACTGAATGCTTTCAGACTGCAGAGTGCTTTCTTGCAGCCATTAAAGTATGTTATTGTTCTTAAATGCAAACAAATATATTTTAGCACACATTTTGTTTCCCATTTCTTCACCGCCTGTACAGGATAGATATTATTGAGCTAGGCTATAATTGTCAACAGCCACATGCCTCTGCAAGATCGCATATATCTTAAAACCACGCATACTCAAATCCAAAGTGGTTTCTCCATAACATATACTAAAGATCTCACAAAGAGAATCCTGAATTCTAGTAAACAGTGTGATCATCTCTTGTGAGTATTTGTAGGATCATTTATAGAGTATAATTGTAAACACAGAACATTATATGGCAGACTTATTTATGTTAATGAACATTTATTGATATGAGTAGTTCTGCTGGAACTACACAGAGCTGCCCACTAGAATTAAACACATGTCTGTTTTGTGAACCTGTGAAAGGCTCCATGGGTTAGCCTGTTGGTTTTAGTCTGTATTTCTGTGATCCTGCCAGTGACTTCTTCAGCTGCTCTACTGCTGTGCCGTTACCCTCTCTTTTCATTCTTGATTATTAATTTAAACTGGATAGTTGGGAGAGAAGTGATGCCTTTCTGTTTATTTGCCTAGACTATTTTAAATGTCAGTGAAACGAATAATCATCATTACAGTTATTATCTCTTTTGTCTGAATGTTTGGGAAAGAACTCCATTTTTCCACATCTGTGATTTCTTTTGTTGCTTCTCTGCAGTTAACAGGACCCATCCAAGTCCTTCATCAGGCACGAGTTTGTGTTGACCACAAGGGAGGGAAGAATGAGCTGAGTGTCAAACAGGGCGATGAGATTGAAATAATTCGCCTCACAGACAACCCAGAAGGAAAGTGGCTGGGCAGGATAAAAGGATGTTGTGAGTTTTGTTTCTTCACTATGCTCCTGTATGTTTTCACTGTATGACAGCAAACGTGTGAGCATCACACCAAGACTAGCCTTACCATGGCTGAGTCACTGGCCACCAAAGTAGATAATTACCACAACTCACCTTCATGTCCTTAGCTGGCATGCAAGGCTTTGTTCATAGTTGGAAGTTATTGTACAACACAATGTAACATCTACAGGCACTAGAATAAGTTAGGAACGGTATGTTGGGCTCTTCATGGACCTATTGAGAGGTAATTCCATGTCAGCCTTCAAATGGCATCAGAACTTGGCTCCCTGCCAGTAACAAGGATCACATTTTTTCATGTCTTTATGTCAAAAATAACATAGGTGTTCCTAAAATAGAAGCAGAGAATATAAGGTCCTGTTTTAAGGACAAATTTGTCTTGTTCCTGTTCCTGTGGAATGTTTCTAACTGATTTCTAAATTTTATTTTGTCTGAAATCTAAGATGTTTCTTTAATTTTATAAAGATCATCAGTGGATCTATGAGTATGATAAGGTCTTGATGATCTGGCTCCTGGTTTATAGCAAAGACATTAAAAGACTGATCCCTAAAATCAGTGAAAATTATTAAAGCACTTGTTTTATTTTTAAGGAGACTAAAATGACACTAAGTTCAGTAAGACAGTTCACACATGTAGAACTGGACAATACCAACTGAGCACTTTGTAGTACTGGATGTAAAAAGACATTAAGGAACTGGAGCATGTGTCATATGAAAAGAGGCTGAGAGAGCTGGGACTGTTCAGCCTGGTGAAGAGAAGGCTCAGGAGGGATCTTATAATTGTTCATAAATATCTGATGAGGGGGCATGTAAAGATGGAGCCAGGCTGTTTCCAGTTGTGGCCAGTGACAGTGCAAGAGGCAACAGGCGCAGACTGAAACACAGGAAATTCTGTCTGAACATCAGGAAGCACTTTTTTATTGTGAGGGTGACCCAGCAAGGGAACAGGTTGCCCAAAGAGGTGGTGGAGTCTCCATCCATGGAGATCTTCAAAACCTGACGGGGCACGTTCCTGGGCAAACTGCTCTAGCATATCCTCCTTGGCCAAGGAGATTGGCCAAGATGATCTCAAGAGGTAAGTTCCAATATCAGCTTTCCTGTGATACTTGGAAGTTTTATAAATAAGACTTTTGCATGGATCATCTTGTACATAGGAAACAAATCCTGGTGAGGGCTTGGAGAAGGGTATTTTCTTGAGCATGTGTAGTCAATGAATTATTTTTCCTTTAATTAATTTACTTTTCATAAACTTATTCTTGCCTCAGCAAAACTGTACAAGACTTTTCACTGACAAATGTCAATGGTACAACCCAATTTGTTTCACCAGTGCTTCAGCCTTCAATGTTCACAGGCCAGTAATAGTCTGTAAAGAAGGCAAACAAAGGAGGAAAATCAGTTCTGATCATTTAAACAAAAGAAAAAAAAATCAATGTATTACAGATTTGAGGAGAAGCACAGTAAAAACTGGGTTCACTCAGAAGCAGCAGAGTGGGGGATTTTCCATTTTCAAGCAATGCATGAGCATTTTTCACCCTCAGGAAAATCCTTTCATGCTGTCTTCTGTACAGGCAGTAGCCCTGTCTAAAATTCCCCTTAGCAGAGACAGAGTTCCCCATCTCAGGCCAGCTGCTCTGCTGCAAGTTTCTCCTGAGCCATTGCACCCAGGGGTATATATCTTTTTAGGTAAGATCCAGGGACAAGAGGATAGCAATGCAGTTGCTAACCTAAAGAAAAATCAATGCAAAGTGTCTCTCCCTCCTAATGACCTGTCGGAATCTTTTGGTCATGGACTGCCCTAAAGTGTGCCACAAGGCTGCAGTCGTGCCAAGGTTAGCTGAGAAAGGGAGCTTGCCCCATGATTCCTGGTGTCTGCACAGAAAATTCTGTTGCTGTAGCTGAGAAGCAAATAAAGGTGAAGTTAACTTGACACCAGCTGAGGAGGGTTTGGGGGGGAGATCTGAGACAGATCTGAGATTTGTATTTGTGTAGACAGATGGGGACTTAGGCTGAGGCTGCTTGGAATGAGACATTTCTTTGAAAGTTTTCAAAGATCATATAAAACAATTCAGTTACTAATTGTGAACCTTCTGTTAAGCTCATCCCTTTACCATTAGCTTTAAAACTATCTCTGCCTAATTACAAGGTTTCTTTCATTTAGATGGATATATTAAAACAACCATGGTTGAGATTGACTATGATTCTTTAAGAAGAAAGCAACAACCATCTACCAGAGCTGCTGTGAAACATTCAGAGAGTGACCAAGAAGTGTATGATGATGTTGGAGAGCAGGACGGTATCAGCAGGTACGTATAACGAATGCATGAAAAGGAACTAATGATTTACCCCAGTCAGCCTAGACAGGAGAATCACAGAATCCCAGGACAGTAGGGGTTGGAAGGGTCCTCCAGATATCATCGAGTCCAACCCCTCCACTAAAGCAGGATCACCTAGAGCAGGTTGCACAGGATCACAACGAGGCAGGTTTTGAATATCTCCAGAGAAGGAGACTCCACAACCTCTCTGGGCAGCCTGTCCCAGTGCTCAGTCACCCTCAAAGTGAGTAAGTTTTTCCTCATGTTCAGATGGAACTTCCTGTGTTCCAGTTTGTGCCCGTTGCCCCTTGTCCTGTCACGGGACGCCATTGGAGAGAGTCTGGCCCCTTCCTCTAGACATCCACCCTTTAGATATTTATAAGTATTGATCAGATCCCCTCTTGGTCTTGTCTTCTCCAGACTAAACAGCCCCAGCCCTCACAGCCTTTCCTCATGTCCCTTAATCATCTTTGTAGCCCTCGCCGGGACTCTCTCTGGTAGTTCCCTGTCTTTCTTGAACTGGGGAGCCCAGAACTGGACACAGAACTCCAGATGTGGCCTCATCAGGGCAGAGTAGAGGGGAAGGATAACCTCCCTCAACCTGCTGGCCATGCTCTTCTTAACGCACCCCAGGATACCGTTGGCCTTCTTGGCCACAAGGGCACACTGCTGGCTCATGGAGAGCTTGTTGTCCACCGGGACTCCCAGGTCCTTCTCTGCAGTGCTGCTTCCCAGCAGGCCAACCCCTAACCTGTACTGGTGAATGGTGTTATTCCTCCCTAGGTGCAGGACCCTACACTTGCCTTTATTGAATTTCATTAGGTTCCTCTCCACCTAACTCTCCAGTCTGTCCAGATCTCATTGAATGGCAGCACAGCCTGCTGGCATATCAGCCACTCTTCCCAGTTTAGTATCATGTTTTACAACAACAAAGCAGACTCTTGTCACAAAAGGAACAGCCAATTATATAACAAACATGTAACTGAGCTATTCAAATTGAAGTAGTCAGAGGAACAAGAATGGATTCTGGAATCCAGTACATATAACCATACTCAGGAGGAATCCATGCTATTGGAAGAGGACCTACAGCATTGCAGTCCAAAAAAGAACAAAATGCAAAACATGCAGGATTACAAATCACCAGCAGGAAGCACAAATCTTTTCCCTCCCTCTCTTTTCTTGTTCAGTCTTTTGGAGTCACATACTGCCTTTTCTAACATGTAAGGGTAAGACTTTAAAAGCAATAGAAACACTCACTGCATTGGGGAACTCCTGATCACCCTCATTGCTCTCAAACTATGAGACATACTACCTCTTTCTTTTTGAAGAGAAGGGATTTCTGGAAGCATGGCTGTGATGGCCCTTCAGAAGAGAGTGTGGCTAATATGTTTTGTCCTGAAAAGAAGGCCTATAAAATCCCATGAGATGAGTATGAGCGATACTTTTTTTTACTTCATTGGAAGTTTCTCCTCTATGGCACAGTCTCACGTGTATTTGCAATGCAGTGCTACGTTGGAGACTCTCTACTTCAATGTCCCATGTTTCACATCAACTAGATCTGCAGCTAGAGAAGTGCCATCTCCAGCAGCATATCAAACTTGCTCGCAAGGAAACATCCTAGTGATCTTGTGACAAAAGTCAAGGCTATCACATGGCCTAACATGACAGTGGTACTTCTGTTTACCCAACCTCACTCACACAAAACTCTCCTTCTGTCATGTGATGCAATAAACCAGTGGTCATTCTCCATTACATGTCCTGATGTGCAGAAACACATACCCCAGGATTCAGATAAGAGATGTACATACGGGTGTGGAGGATTTCAATGTGTAGGACAACCACCTTGAGACACTCAGCCATTACACCTGCTTTTACGCCTTCCCAGCACCTTAACTTAGAGGCCTGGCTGGAATAAAGGGAACACAGCTGGCTGGCTGCTGCGTGCAGCTGATCATAGAATTATAGAATCATAGAATCATTTTGGTTGGAAAAGACCTTTAAGATCATCAAGTCTAATTGTTAACCTAACACTGCCAAGTCTAACCACTAAACCATGTCCCTAAGTGCCACATCTACGCATCTTTTAAATACCTCCAGGGATGGTGACTCCACCACCTCTCTGGGCAGCCTGTTCCAATGACTGACAACCCCTTTGGTGAAAAGATTTTTCCTGATATCCAACGTAAACCTCCCTTGTAGCAACTTGAGGCCATTTCCTCTTGTCCTGTAACTTGTTGCTTGGGAGAAGAGACTGACACCCACCTGGCTACAGCCTCCTTTCTGGTAGTTGCAGAGAGTGAGAAGGTCTCCCCTCAGCCTCCTTTTCTCCAGACCAAACAATCCCAGTTCCCTCAGCTGCTCCTCATCAGACTTGTGCTCTAGACCCTTCACCAGGTTCATTGCTCTTCTTTGGACACGCTCCAGCACCTCAATGTCTTTCTTGTAGTGAGAGGCCCAAAACTGAACACAGTGTTTGAGACGTGGCCTCACCAGTGCTGAGTACAGGGGGATGATCACTTCCCCAGTCCTGCTGGCCACACTATTCCTCATACAAGCCAGGATGCTCTTGGTCTTCTTGGCCACCTAGGCACACTGCTGGCTCATCTTCAGCCAGCTGTTGACCAACACCCCCAGTTCCTTTTCTGCCAGGCAGCTTTCCAGCCACTCTCCTCCAAGCCTGTAGCGTTGCATGGGGTTGCGACCCAAGTGCAGGACCCAGCACTGAACCTTGTTGAACCTCATACGGTTGGCCTTGGCCCCTGCATCCAGCCTGTCCAGATCCCTCTGTAGAGCCTCCCTACCCTCCAGCAGATCAACACTCCTGCCCACCTTGGTGTCACCTGAAAACTTACTGAGAGTGCTTTTGATCCCCTTGTCCAGATCACTGGTAGAGATATTAAAGAGAACTGGCCCCAGTACTGAGCCCTGAGGAACACCGCTTGTGACTGACTGCCAACTGGATGTAACTCCGTTCACCACAACTCTTTGGGCCCAGCCATCCAGGCAGTTTGTTACCCAGCAAAGAGTGCATCTGTCCAAGCAATGAGCAGCCAGAGTCTACATGAGAATGCTGTGGGAAATGGTGTCAAAGGCTTTACTAAAGTCTAGGTAGACAACATCCTCAGCTGCTAGAATATCCCCATCAGCTCTAGAAACAGTGCTTAGAAAGGTCTGCCTTCAGGCTGGCATTCTTTAAGCAACCAATACAGTTTTGCATCATCTGATATTTTTCCATGCTGCTCAATATCAGTTTTCCTCCTTGCACATTGGTATCATAACATTGTAACCTAGCCAGAGGAGTTGCTGTAGTTGTTCTAGGTTTTAGGTAATCTGAGTATTAGGTACTTCGTTGCAGAAGTACCTTTGGCCAATCCTTTCCACTATGGCAAGCATTATAATTAACCACCTCAATGCAAGGAATTTAGAAAATTTATTTAATTCAAAACCAAACAAGAATACTTCACTGTTGCATATTAAAATGCGTAAGGAACTTGGAAGGATGAATGAATGGCTCAGATTCGTTAAATCCTTTAAGCTGTATTTTGACATTTTTATCTTCTCTAGTGATTAATAGCATTCTTTTCAGTTCATGAGCATGAATTGTTGGAAGGTCTGACATATATCAACATGTTTTGAAACCACTGTAAGAATGCCATACTAAAAAAAGCCTTTTGACCAAATAGTATTATCTCATTAGTGGTAGTATTATTAATATTCCAAAATTAATAAGTGACTAGGGCTGTTGTATTTCAGGATTTCTTGGCACAAGAGTTTAACAAATATCTTGTTTTGATGTATAAGTAAGGCTCTGTCCTAGAAATAATCTCAGCTACTGTGAACCTATCAAGTTTTTTCAATTACTGTTAAAACATGGGGCTAATATGGAATCCTTGAAATGTTAGAAACATGCAGTTAGAAGTTTAAAGCGTCACCCAAGGAAAGCTAGTTGAACAATAGACTTATTTGTTTACCATTTCATCTTAAGAAAATCCCCCCATAAGGGATGAATCTAAAGGGTGTGGATGCACTCTCTAGTGTTCAGTAATACCAAACTTTTATTCCCATCGTTTGACTACCTGACCTCCTGAGATCCCTTCCAACATGAATTATCCTATGATCCTAAGTCATATTTTGTACTTTAAAGATATCAACATGAATACAAAATATATTCTAGATATAGTAAATTGTTACAGTTGTAGACATCAGTTTGCATTTCATTGAAAATGACACTTTATTGGAAATTGCTAACAGCTGCTAACAATTACTAACAATTCAGGCTGAATATTCTGCTTGTATGAAAATACGCACCTTCATTGGCTTGAAATACCTGCATTGATTTATGCAAATAGAGAATTTGCCTCACAAGTTTAGTTATAAAATACTGTTCTTTTCTTTTTACATTAAGTAAAGATGGTATTGATAACTCTCTCTCTTATAACCCTTTAAATTACTGTGAATGATATTTTAAAATACTGGTTTTTGATTTGTAATTAATTATTTTCCAAGGGAAAAAAAAAAAGAGTATTTTTTCCTGCTCTACCTGAATATACTAAAATTTAATCTCTCATCTAAGATCTAGTTCACTTACAAATTAGATGACACATTTTCTTTAGCATTAGTGAGAATGCAGCTAATTTGGTTGTAAGAAATTGGTGCGAGTGTGGTGAAAACAGAGAGAAAAAAAAACTGGCACGTTTAGTTGTTGCCCATATAGAACACACAATCATGTGCCTGAGCTTCCAGTGCAGAATTGGCAGTGCTCAGCTGGCAATGTAGACGAGTGCCAAAGCCAAAAGGTTTAGAAGTAGTAACTAAAAAGTGATGGGTGATCATGGTGTTTTCTTTTTTCAAAGGATGACTGTTTTTTCACTAAAACATCTCTCATTTGCTTTTCCAGTGGTGGCCAAAGTGGAGCTGGACGTAAGTTCTACATACACTTTTTGGGGAGAGTTGTTCTGTGTACTGCTTACCTTCAGACCTCTGCAGCTTCCAAATAATGCAGTAATTACCCATAAGAGTGCTAAATATTAGCTAACAGGCAACAAACAAGGAGGTACAGTGGCCAAATTAACTTTCTTTCCACCTGTGGGAACTTGGGTGAGAAAGGAGTTTTGTCTTCAGATACTGTGAATCAGAAGCACGCCAGAAGATGACAAAACTTTAATTTTTTATTTTTGTGTGTGTGTGAACGTAAATCATCCCACAAGGCACATATATTTATGTAGCATTCTCTTTTGATCACAAGAGCACAGCTCATCTTCTCAGCTTAGAGTTTAGATACTAGTCATAGCAGAAACATCCCCTGGCAGTGCTGAATGAAGCTGCTGCCAGCTAAGTACAGATTTCAGTGATCACTCTGACCAGTGGAACTAGAGATGGAAACTGAGCTAACCCTGCCCTGAAGGAGGTGGGGCTCAAAGGTCAGAACTGAGACCAAAACAGCAAGTTTACATTACACTTGCCTCTGGGTTCTGTGGATGAATGCAAGATGTCACTTGCTGAGAGTGTTGGTCTGACATCTTCAATCATCACTCGAGTCACACACAAAAATTTAAAAGTCATCAGTCATCATAACGACTGGTCCAAAATCAGCCATTTAGAATTCCATCAGCCATTTAGAATTCCATCAAATACAATGTACTTGCATTTATCTGCAGTATTCATGCTCTTGTGATTAGCAGTGCCACATTTAAATGCTGTGGATGGCATTCCCAACTGGGCTAAGTCTAAATCACTGTTTTAATAAATAGGCTGTGCTGGTTTAGAGATTCCATTTGCAAGGATATTGCACAAACTGCACACACATCTGACATACTTAACAGGCCAGTAATGAATACCCTATTCAGCAGCATTAAATATAAATGCATTAATTTACTATTTGATCTGTTAAAGAGATGTTCCCACTTCCTCCTTCGGATCAAGAAATTTATGATGGGATTGATGATGAAGATACTGTAACTGGGTAAGTTTTTGTATCATTTAAATAATTTACTTCTTTAACAGAGTGCTTTCAGGTTTTAGTATTTTTGAATTAGGCATAATAATTAGCAAGTACTAGGATGATCAGCAAGGGGGTATAAATCAGGATGGATTCATGAAGCTAAAAAAAAAAAAGGGGTTCTACATTTTTTTAGAGAAGTTTTGTTCTGTAATTAATTTTGGTATGTCAGCAAAAGCAGCTGCAATCATGAAAATCCCCAAATCCCCAACTAGACAGATAGCTCTGAAATGAAAATAACAAACTAAAATGTTAGCTTGCTGAGTAACAATATGAAAACAGTAAGCCACTAGATTAATATCTATACCTACAAATATATCCCAATATCTACAAATGATCTAACACACTTATTTCTACTTTAGCATTTTAGTCTTTAGCATTTAGGTAAGTGACCTCACCTTGTGGTATATACATTGTTGACATTAATGAAAATTATGTGCATCAATGGAGAATTTAAACTGGACCTTTTACAAAAGAATTTTACATTTTACATTGTGATAATTGCATGCATACTCCAAAGGTCTGTATCGCAGGATGAAGATAAGAATGGTATCTGGTCCTGGGGAATCTTGAAGAGGCTAAAGGTCAAAGATGACAAAAAGAAAAGTGTACGAGAAAAAACAACCAAAGTCAATGGGGCAGAAGATAATGGAGATTTGTTGTAAGAGTCTGCCAGGAAATCACAGTGCACATTAACTAATTCTAATAAAGCATTGATCACATGCTACTAACCTGTTCTCACAGCAGCCTAATGAATTATGCAAAAAATTGCAGCTCAGGATGATACATTTCTGCAAAAACACTGACCTCCTTTCTTTTTACCTGCATAATATAATTACTTTCTTAACAAGCTGTATTTGTTGCATAAGTCTGGTAATTAAAATATACCAAAAATTTTTTTTGTTCAAGAGCACCAAAATAATCGAGCATCTTTGTGCCACTCTGGTGATCTGTTTGCTGTATCCTCAGTTAAAATGTACTTTGCTCATCCGTACAATATAGCTGAGATAAACTGCTACATCTAGTCCCATTAATCCAAATTTTAGGAATAATATGCCAAACAGAAAAATGCAAAGATTGTCTTCTCCCCATCTTGCCTAGAGGTTAGATCAGCAACTGGTGTTTTTACCACCATCTTTTCACATTTGGTTCTGAACCAGTTTACTTTGATTCAGTGGTAAAAATAGACTTAGTCCATGACTATTGCTGGTGTCAGTGGAGCTTCAAAATGTCTGGAGATTACTTGGAGCCCTTGTGTTGCAAGTTTTTTAAATGATTTAAATGATGCAAAAGCCTATTAATAAGATATAAATATTTAATGAGCATCTTTTTTTTTTCCAGCATGTCTCCTTCAAGAAAGCAGTTTGGAAAAGGTAATTAATAGCCTATTGTTCAGCCTCCATATTGATTCCTGATCCTTTTTTCTGTATACATTACTCTGTATCATGCTAGTCACAAAAATACATCCAAGGAAGGAAACAGGATTTCCTATTGCTTAGCCAGTTCCAGCAAAAAAATTCAAATATTGTGAGTGATTTGGCTACAGACAAGGAGATACAAATATATTGCAAGCTCTCTAGAAAACGATTTAATGTATTTTTTAAGAACCCATGATTTTTCTGTGTGAGATTTCCACCAGTTCATTTTATTTGACATTATGTATGAACAGATACACTTGGAAAGAAACAGTGCAAGACTTCAACAGTAAAAAGAGATGCTTGTTATTTTTATCACTTGCAATGTCCTCCTAAGATAACATATGCTCCTCAGCTCAGCCATGGAATAAAAAGCAAGTTCTTACAAATTTTGAGGCTGTTGACTGAACTGAGTTCTGAACCTTTTATCTCCTACTGTGATTTTTCTAGCCATGGATTTGATGACTTGAACAATTTCTTCCTTTCTACAAATACGCTAAATGTGATTCAAAGTATATTCTTGGGGTAAGAATTCTTTTCACTGCTTTGGCATTGCAAGATGGCCTAAAAGCTGACATACATGTGACTCTCATCCACTTCTAAGCAATGTCGTGTTGATCAGACTGCTTCAGAAGTGCCTGAGTGTACATTAACATCAAACCCCAAAAATATACTTTGATGCAACACAGTGGGAAACAGACTAATTAAAATGAAGATTAAAGGCTATTGCATTAGCCAGCATGTGCTAAAACTTGCTTCAGCTTAAGAAGATTAAAATATCAGTGAATACCTATTATTATTAATAAAGAGTCTTATTCTGAAAAGGTGGGCTGATGTTTGTTTTGCACAGCACATTGTGCAAAACAGAGAACCCACAGTTACTATAGACGATGAACGGCTACAGTACTTGCTGCAATTTCTTGTCAACTTAGCTACCCTACCATAGATTGTAACACAATGTATTCACTACTCAAGGATCACATAATAATTTTCCATTCTTTTAAACACTATTGTTTCAGATTGTGGAGACAATGATGTTTATGATGACGTAGATTCTTCAGACTTCCCTCCTCCACCGCCTGAACTCAAGCAAGTGAAAATGGGAATTACTCCCCTGATTAGAAATCTGTAATATATTGTGAAACATTTTCAAAGTATTTACTAGAGGCAAATTGCTACTAATATATGCTTTATTTGCTGTTGTCAGGCTTTGTAGTTCTCCTAACACTACAGTTGGCAATGGCAGTTGAATGCTACCTGCTTCTATTTCAGATTGAAATAATAGTTAACTGTAGAATGAATAAGCATGCTTTGAACGTCAACAAATTCAGTCCCTGATAGACAAGAGGTAGAAATGAATGCATGGCCTAGAGGTACTTCCTTGTAGATTCTCTGCATGCACTCCTCTTCCTGTCAAAATCTGGGGACTGTTAGGATAAGTACTTGATCCCAGCTGTTGTAGTATTTTAAGAGAAAAGGAGATAGTGCCCTGTGTTATAAGTATGAAACACATCTGGAGGTGTAAAGTTCAACCTGGAAAACTTTTATCCCTGGACCAGCAAGTTATGGCCATCTCTGGAGCACAGATGTATTACGAGCACAGATACATCTGTGAAGATGACTGCAACATGTCACATTCTGTTGTCACTAATTCCACTCAAGTGGAGCTACAGAATGCACTACAATAATCTAGTCTGGAGGTATTAAATCAGAGAGAGCTCTTTGAACCGTATATCCAGAGGAAAAGATGTGGCCCTCCTAACCTAAATCTAGGTTAGTTCACACACACACACATATACATTCATCATCAGTGAAACTGTCATCCACAACTCCTGCAGAGATCAGGAAGGATCAAAAAATAGAGTTGGACTTTAAATTCCCAGGTACAGCATCAGGAAGGGCTGTTAGGGCATAAAACCCTTCTGTGCTCCTTGGCACAAGTCAACAGTATCAGGGATGTGGAAAAAAAACAACAGAACTTGAAATGGGTCATGTAATACAGATTCCCTCGTGTAGCAAGGTCTTCTGTGGGAACAGAGGACTTTTACGGATGAAGGTGTTTGACACGGTTACGATTTAGTCAATTCAAAATTTATTAATAGGATGAGTTAAATCAAAGGTTGAATTTTAGTGGCACTCAGTGATTGACTAATTTAAAGATTTAAAAGTAATTCAGTAAAATATGTTATGATCAAAAAAGCAAGTTAATTACAGATTCAAAGATGGCAAGGTTCACACTAACTTACCTTAAGGTATCTTAAATCAAAGTGGATAGATAGATAGATAGATAAACATAAAACATACAGGTACACACAGACAGAAATACTTGGGCCCAGTGATGAGTCACCCACACTCGTGAAGGCAAATGTGAATATTTAAATACATAGATAGGTAGGAAGGTGAATGAAGGAAGCTAGCTTATAGTTAAAATTTCCCTCTTCGAGTCTAGACTAAATACAACGCATCGGCATTC